GTGTGTGTGTGTGTGTGTGTGTGTGTGTGTGTGTGTGTGTGTGTGTGGCACTACATAGCTAGCAATCACTACCTAGCCAGCACACTGCGCAGGGAAAGCCCTAAGTGGGATTGTAAAACGGCCCGTCCATACCACTCTGGGTAAATGGAGGCCCCTGTGTGGGTGGGAGGCAGGGGTAACTGAGTCTATGTGCCAGTGCGTACTTGCACACTTGTGTACGTGTTAAGGTTGCTGCGGAAATCCACAGGGAAGTGCTTCCAACAGGGTATTGATACCCCAACGTTTAAAAAGTGTACACCCTAAAAAAAAAGGAAAACTGAACTTTTCACGTCATGCTCCTTCTAGCTCGGTCCAAGCGCATATGTACACACAGACCGAGCTTTCACAGAACAGTCGCAAACGCAAGCACAATTTCTCCCACTTTGAGATTGCGGTTTGGCAACCGGCTATCACGTTACAAATCCCAGACTGGAGAGGTAACTATGGCAACTCCTTCCAAAATACCCCAGTCGCACAGGAAGAGAAGAAAGGCCTGTGTTCGCCGCTCACTCTTCTCAGTCAATTGCCGTCTTTAAACCGCCGATGGAGTGGAACCCCTGACGCAGAGAGGGATACCTTCCTCTGACGCACCTCGGGATAACCGGGGACCCCGAGCTGCCTTTTGTTCTCGCTCCACCGTCGCTCACAGCTTTCCCTCAACTTACCTGAGTAATAGGCATTCTTTCCTCTCCAAGCCTTTAATGACAACTCCAATAAACAGTGTTAATTGGTTCTCCTAACTACAGGGTAGGCGCCTCTCTCCAACCACCTCTCTCCATGACACTTTCTTGGTCTCTCATCCAAAGGTAACGGTTGGTTCATGAGGTACAGCAAAGAAAAAGTTTCTCAACCTTCAAGCTTCCACATTTGTTCCATGAACTCAAAGTTGTTGTTTTTTTTCTTAGAATTTTAAGAAGCCTCCAAGAAATCTACGCAAAACTGTTTCCCCTCACATAAAAAGTTAAGAGGATAAGTAAATCAATGCTATAACAGTAGTCTTGGCCCAAAAATCCTTATTGACAGAGAGCAGAAGTTTGGGAAACTGTCAGGGAGATGAAGGTCTTACTGGAGAGCCCTAAAGCTGTGAAGCAGTAAGAAGTATGTAGTTGTGTGAAGGGAGCATGGGGTGTCCTGGAACAGCTGGAAGCTGGAGTGCTGCAGCAGCAGATCGTCAGATAAGCAGCTGTGTGTGTTCAGGGAAAACGAGAGTCAGGCATGCTAACCACTACCGCAACTAGCCGCTGGAAAACACTCTCGCTGCTGGATTTTAACAGAGGACCGTTTACACCCAAAACTAAAATGGCTAATACATGCTAAATAGCACTAACCGTCTTTAAAGTAAAATCGGTAACCTTTGTGCTTCCAAAACACTTTTTTTGCAAATTCTGTAAGCATTATCGATAAAGAATAAGACCATTAATGAAGTTAAAATAGCAATAAAACAAGTTAATTTGATCAGAAAAATTGAAAAATAAATAAAATATCAACTCCAGCTAGTTTGCATATCAGCCCCTAAAGTTGATCTTTTGTTCTGCTGGTTTGTTACTCTTGAGTTAAAGTAAAGCATATTAAATGTCTATCCATCCATTATCTATACCCGCTTCTTCCTTTAAGGGTCACGGGGGTCACTGGTGCCCATATCCAGCAGTCACAGTGCAAGGGACGGTGTGCACCCTGGACAGGTCACAAGACCATCACAGTATATTAAATATAAAAGTTTTTATTTTTTAAACTAGCCATATTGTACAATGCAGTGCAAAACTCACCATACTGTATCCTGGTGCGGACATCTGCAACAGGAACATTATAGATTTTCTCCAAGTAGTTCTTTATGTCATATTTGGTCATTCTGTCCAGAACAAAAAGAGAACATGAGAGAGGAAAACAAGTCACAAAGTCAGCAGGATAATTTATTTAGATCAGCATATAACTTCACATTCACCTAATTAGAATACAGGGGTAAGACAATGAAACTAAAACACCTGTCATTTTAGTGTGGGAGGTTTCATGGCTAAATTGGACCAGCCTGGTGGCCAATCTTCATTAACTGCACATTGCACCAGCAAGACCAGAGTGTGAAGGTTCAATTAGCAGGGTAAGAGCACAGTTTTGCTCAAAATATTGCAATGCACACAACATTATGGGTGACATACCAGAGTTCAAAAGAGGACAAATTGTTAGTGCAAGTCTTGCTGGTGCATCTGTGACTAAGACAGCAAGTCTTTGTGATGTATCAGGAGCCACAGTATCCAGGGTAATGTCAGCATACCACCAAGAATCTGTTCCAAATTGTGTCAAAATTACAGACTTCAGGCTATACATCAAATTTTAATTTGTGTTGATAGATAAATAAATTACAGAACTTTTTTTAAATGTTCGTTATATATGAAGCGGAGAGGAGCAGCGAGTGGACTCTGCCTGTTGGCATTAATCATATTAATTGTCAAGTGCCAAAAATTATTCGATTAATGTTTTTCTGACGATTAATTGCACATGATACGATAATGCCCAACCAACCCTAATATACACTGCTCAAAAAAATAAAGGGATCACTTAAACAACACACGCTAAGTCCAAGTAAATCAAACTTTTGTGAAGCACATTCAACTCTGTACAGAACAAAGTA